CGCTTGACGTGGGCGCCGCCAGCCAGGCCCTACGGTCGCATCCTCGGCTACACCATCGAATGAAGTCTTAATGATAGGTGGCAGGCACCTCTCCATGTGCCTTCAACTCGCGTGTATGACTTCATTAAGTTAAAGCCCGGACAGACCATTTCCGCCTCTGTTTGCGCACGCAACGAGCCGGATGTTGCAGTGAAATTTGAATACGTTGGCGCTCTCAGCCCCGTTGAGACGGTGTCGACACCCCTTTTGCATGGAGGTTAGTCCATGTTTTGGGATGGAGGAAGTAACTGTCTCTCCTAGTGTAGTGCAGGCCGACGATGAACTGTATCATGTTCACTTTACTCCCACTGTACATTCTCAAACTTCTGGCAGGTATGAAGAAGCCAACGTTCGAGGCAAAGTACTACGCAGAGGAGCAGGAATTGCACCTATTGATACACGAGCCCGAGAATGTGGACGGCGAATTTGGCGGCATTGAGATCTTCACGAAGAGTGGCACCAACCTTGAGGAAGCCGAATGGCGCTCATCAGTCGTGCTGCAGCAATCGGAGCGATCATATGTAATAGAGAATGTGAATCCATCAACAGCCTATGCAGTTACAGTGCAAGGACACGTGTTGCCCGATCGGGGTAGTGAGATGGCTGACCCGTTGGAATTCGAGATATTGCCTCGAGGTACGTCCTCTTCCTCCTCCTACTTTCGCACAATTGGTAGCAGCGCTTTGGACACTATTTTCCCACCTCAACTTCCACATTCGGCTCCACTCACGTTGAGACGCATGTATCCATCTCATTCCCAGCCACCTTCACGGGTGTAATCACTTTGCATTGTGTAGAATCAAGTGTTCCGCGAAATGTGGTACTCAAAGCTGTTGACCCTTTTACGGTGCGTGTTGCATGGGATCCACCAGCCCAGCCCTACGGCAGTATTATCGGATACACCATAGAATGGAGCGTCGATAATGCATGGAAGAAGAGTGTCCACCTCGTCTTAAGTCGTGTCCACTTCTTCTCGAGGTTGGAACCAGGACAGACCGTTTCCGCTCTTGTTTGTGCACACAATCGGCCCAATGTCTCGACCAAATTTGAGTACATCAGTGCCTTCAGTCCAATCCAAACGGTATCTACGCTGCGTCTGGAATGAAGTAATTTCTCCCCAATCACCCTGTCACGGTTTCGGCTGCGATTTAAATTCCTCCTAATTGTTGGGCCAGGTGTTGGGTGTAGGATGATGCTTTGAATCATGCTGCTGCAATGCCTCGTCCACCTGCCCCCAATGCTTCAATTGCTGCAATCTTGCTCACCTCCGAGTTGCAATACGCTTTCTCAACTTTCCCTCTCTCTAGCGATTGGTGAAATAAACAACCATGCTGTTGTGTGACTGCGTACCGTTTGTTTGTGCTTCTCGGTGAGTAGCAGACAGTGACATCCTCTCACACATCCGCAAAGGCAATCGCATTGGGAATTGGGGCAGCGTAGGCCATCTGAGCGTGGGTCGAAGCGCCAGTTCGTGATGGCACATAGTTGTATACTCGCTGACTG